GCTCCAATAACTGGAGCCCGTACGTTCTATACTGATGCAAATAAATCAGGGAAAGCAGGTTACAAGTCAGATGAATTGAGTAAGGTGGAACAAAGCCCTTATAATTCTGTCCAGAAGGCAGAATTATATGCCATTCTTATGGTGCTAAGGGATTTTAAAGAACCTCTTAATATAGTTACAGATTCACAATATGCAGAAAGAGTTATCTTGCATATTGAAACCGCTGAATTTATACCAGATGATACAGAGTTGACTTCATTGTTTATCCAGGTACAAGACATAATCAGGAACAGGCTTTGTCCGATGTACATAACACACATCCGGTCCCATACAGGTCTGCCTGGTCCTCTAGCCCAAGGCAATGCTGAGATTGATCAATTATTGATTGGAAGTGTGTTGCAGGCCTCGGAATTTCATAAGAAGCATCATGTCAATAGTAAAGGCCTAAAGAAAGAATTTTCCATTACTTGGCAACAAGCTAAGGACATTATAAAGAGATGTCCTACTTGTTCTTTCTATAATCAAACACCGTTGCCTGCAGGGAGTAACCCAAAGGGTACTAAGAGAAATGAAATCTGGCAGATGGATGTGTTCCACTTTATGGAATTTGGTAAATTAAAATATGTACACCACACCATAGACACGTATTCAGGTTTTCAATGGGCTACAGCCCTGAGCTCAGAAAAGGCTGATTTAGTAATCACACATTTATTGGAAGTTATGGCCATCATGGGTATACCTGCGCAAATAAAGACAGATAATGGTCCAGCATATGTATCTAAGAAAATGAAACGCTTTTTTGATTATTATAATATAAAACACATTACAGGTATACCAAATAATCCTACAGGTCAGGCAGTTATAGAAAGATCAAATCGTACTATAAAGGATATGCTGAACAAACAGAAAGGGACTGAAAATACCCCCAGAAATAGATTACATAATGCTTTATTAACCTTGAATTTTCTTAACGCTAATGAGAAAGGAACGACAGCAGCAGAAAGACATTGGATAATGGAAAAGTCTGCTGAACTAAATCAACCGATTTATTTCAAAGATGTGCTGACCTCTCAGTGGAAGCCAGGAGATGTGCTACGTTGGGGAAGGGGTTTTGCTCTTGTTTCCACAGGAGAAGAAAAATTATGGATACCATCAAAATTAATAAAGTTTCGATTTGAAGAGGAGAAACCTCTTGGAAAGGAGAAATGACAACTCATCCACAACGATGATATTCATACAGGTGGTAAGAAAAACATATAGAATGGGGGCAGGGTTCTGTTCTTATCTCCACAGGAAAACACTCATTTTTGAGAAATTCAAGGGACCCTGGATGTTTGGATACTGACAGATGGAAAAATACCTGCCCAATAGGAAATATCAAGACAACTGAATCGGTTGTGTAAGTAATATTAAACCATATTTCTAAATTTATAAAGCTGGTTTTGAAGTTGGACTCTGGCTCAGTCCCTCTCCAATTCCAAGCCTGTTAGTAAGAGAAAAACCCAGAGTTTCTGGAGTTTCTGTCTCATGTCAAGAGCCATGATGTGGGACAGAAAGAAATATGAGTTTAGAAAACATCTTTGCTTTTCTTCATATCTATCATACTTTTCATTGAATATATCTATCATGTCTTTCATTGAATATATATATATGTCTATATATGTCTATATGATTAATGTTTAAGTTTTTCATAATGAACAATGAGTTTTTCCTGAAGTGACATTTGAAGTTTCCAGGAAGAAGATGGGGCCCCATAACAACAACTCCACCTGGTTGATATGACGTCATGATACTGATAGCGCTACTACAAGACCTGCTTTTGGTACCAGCTGCACAAGACAGTTCCAACTTGGTTAGCTGAAATGGTGCACATCTTATACAACATTTTGGCCAGACCTGCACAAAATAATCAGAGACTATTGGCAATTTTAAAAGACATTGATCTTGAAATTTAACCATCATTTTACTTTCACAGGATCCCCCAGAAAGAACGTCGCCCCCATGACAGCTGGAAGTAATTCTAGAGGACGACGTCCCCTCTCCCAGTAAAGTTTGCCCTTGGGTTTAGGGACATCATTTAGGGGTTGATTATAATTAGTATACGATTGAGAGTTGGGGGAGGAATTTTATACGCTCAGGGATCATTTTGAAAAAAAAAAAAAGAGGGATGATGGGATAATAGATTTGTAATTGTGAGTTACTGTTTTTAGACAAATACATTGGTATAGATTCTTGTATATTGATACAAAGTTAAATTATATTGACTATTGTACGCATGCATGTTTCTACCTCTGTTTAAAACATTTTTTATGTATTGACATATATTGTATTGATATATATATATTGTATATATTTACCATATTGCAGTGTACATTTCTACCTCTGATTAAGATACTTATATAATGATTGTGTATTGATATATATTTACCTACTGCAATGTATATTTGTACATTGTTTATATTTGGAGGTCATTGTCCTCATTTGTTTCACAGTCGTTTATTGTCTTAGTCTTTAAGTTAGATAGATATTGAGAATTATATAGACTAATAGTCATCTAAGTTTGTCATTTATAATAGACTAATCAGGTTCTTTAGATATATAGAGATTATACTCAGTATAGATAGATAATCTTCAACTTCTTCAAAGAGCTGTAGAAAATGGCCTTTAATCTAACTCAGAGTTTTGTGGTAGTGAGACACAATTTCTCCTGGCAACACCACTCTTTTCCCGAGAGAATGTTGAGCACCAAAGACACTCCACCTGGAGCCTTTCTTTTTGGCAGAACTGGCGTTTGGGCAAAGAAATGCCCATACCTCAACAACTGACAAAGATACAGAGCATGCATCAATGGATAAAACAGGACTGTCATATCCTGCCAAGACAGGGTAAGATAGTTTTGAAAAGTTGCTTGCCTTAGAAAATGGTATGTCAGTTATGTTAGGCCTTAGCCAAAGTTGGTTGCTTCAACGATGCTAATGTGACTTTGGGTGATTGCCCAGGTAGCTAGTTGTCTCTGTAATTTGTTGCATGTTTTGGAAGTTGTTTTACTGAACTTCCTAATTACCCAGGTAACATTATTTCCCTTCTCAGATCTTCGATGGGGTTGAAGACTATATTAATGTAGTTACTTTCTCTCATGACTTGGTCAAGTTATTTATTATACAAGACCTAAGCTAGTTAGAATAGGATATTTGTACTTATTGTATATAATTTCATAGTAGGTTTAGAACTCTCTTATTTAAACAAAAGGGGGAGGTGTTGCGGGAGGTCCTCCCACTCCTCCAGCCTATCACCGCTGAGGTACCAGCCCACTGGGGCGTGGTTTCTCTCCCTTTAAAAAAGCGGCCACTTCCCTCTCCTCTCTCTCTTCACTTCCTGCTCCGCCTGCGACTAGACTCCTTTCCTGGTTGCATAGAGGGCTGTTGCCTGGGACAGTGATCTGTAAGTTTTTTCCCCTTTAAATAAATACCACCCTAATAATCATAACCCCGAATTGGTGTGGCATTGTTTGTGACTTACGCCTTCACAGAGAAACCTTGTCTCAAAAAACAAAAACAAACAAAACAAAAAGAACTGGGTATCTGTCCATCCTCTACAGTTATAGCGGGAAAAGGCCAGAATGTGTTACCAGAATATAAGATCTGAGCTAAATGTTAGGGGAGAAAGCAGCTGCCTCACAATGTGGAGTCCACTGGGCACATGTCGATGGGAAGAGGGTGGCAGCATCCTTTTCTTGGCTACTGGAAGAGAGGCAGTATCGCTAGAAATTGCTGAATGGCTAAAGAGACCTCACTTCCCTTCCCTTATGAGACCAAAGGCACCAAGCTGAGATGACCTGACCACTTTAAAACCCGGGGTTTCTGCAGAGGTTGCCTTGGGACCCTGCTGAGGGTCATTCAGCAGAGTCCTAGGCAAGTGCATGCTTTGGGGGGAAGTTATATTTGACAACATCAATGGAATTAAATATGTCTTTGTTTCAAGGCTGTCCCATAGAGCCCAGGCTGGCCTGAAACTCCTTATGTAGTCTCCTGTCTCTACCAGCTGAGCTGGAATGACAGGGAGCCACCACCACATCTGGTTTGTGCTATGAGAGGTCAAATCCAGGACTTCATGCAGCCTATGCAAACACTCTACCAACTGAGCCCCAGACCCGTTCCTGGATTTTGTTTTGGTGAGGTAGGATCTCATGTAGTCAAGGCTGGCCTCAAACCTGTTGCTATGTAGTTGAGGATGGCCCTAAACTCTTAATCCTCCTGACTCCACTTTCCAAGGATTGAGTACAGGGATGTATAGCTATGCATAACAAGTTAAATGGTGCTAAGGGAAAGTGGTTTTTCTGTTGTTTGAGACAGAGACTCTCTATATAGCCCTAGCTGGTCTCAAACTCACAGAGATCCGCCTGCCTCTGTCTCCTGAGTGCTCAGATTAAAGGGGTGCACCACCACACCTGGCCCTCGTGAACAGTGATTAACGCCACAGAAAACTGATTGCTGGGTCTGATTAGTGTGAAGCAAAAATAAAACTGAACAAAAAATTTAAAACATAAAGGATATAGAAATATATATACATATATATACAATGACTTAAGAAGATAAAATTGAGGAAAGGCTACAGTGATGTTCAATGGATAAGAACACATACACTTCTTGGAGAAGACCCGAGTTCAGGTTCCAACACCAGGTTGGGTAGCTCTAGGGGATATGAATATGATACTCTCTCCTGGATTCCTCGAGTGCTTGTATTGACACGCACTTATACAAGCATACATAAATAAACATGTACATAAAATACATACACATACTTACATAAAAATAGTATAAATCTTTTAAAAAAAGAAAATAATTTAAATAAGAAAAAAACATTCAATTGTGGGAGAGAGGCCCGCCTTGTTTGTTTGCTCTTCCCACCCATGAATATGTTTTGGAAAGCAGCTTATCTAGCAGTATCTACACACACACACACACACACACACACACACACACACACACGCACACCCGTACCTCACTGAGATGATAAATGCAATCAGCAGGATGAGAATGAAGGCTCCGGCTATGGTGCCCACAATGGTGAGGATCAGCTGAAATGCTGAAAGGGAACAGACAAGAATCCTTGTTAGCTTTAACTGTCAACTTGGCACAACCTAGGCTGGGAAGAGAGTTTTAATGAGGCATTATCTAAACGGGGTTAGCCTATGTGGTATGCCTGGGGCAGAGGGGTCTTGACTGTTAGTTGATACAGGAAGACCCAGTCCACTGTGGGAAGCATCATTCCCTAGGCGGGCCGTCCTGAACAGTAGGAGAGAATGAAGCTAGCTGGGAGCAAGAAAGCAGCAAACAAGGACCCACATGCTCATTCTCCTTTTGCTCTTGGCTGTAGACTGCAATGCTTTGAGTTCCTGCCTTGGTTTCCCCAAAACAGTAGACTGTAACCTGGAATTATAAACCAAACACAGCTTTTTCTCTCTTAGGGTGTTTGTCTCAGCAACAGAAATGAAACTGGAACAGATGGCCTCCAACAATCGGGTCCTGCTGTCTACTGCACAGAGACTCGTGTTTCCAGGGTCTCAGTGTGAGCTCCATCGGGTTCCTGTCTCCCAGCCCTTCAGAGAGGCACACAGGACAGGTGCCCATCTCTGCTGCTACCCTCTCCTTGTCCTCATGCCCTTACTATGCCCTAACCATTAGGTGGTCTGCAACTCACAACCATTACATGCACCCTTGCCAGCTATGAAATCCCAAATACAAAAGGGGCTGATGGTGGCCAGGTCTTCCTGGGCTATGTGGGTTTGAGGACCTCACTGCAGTCTACACTCTCTCTCCATCTCTCCTGCCATTGCCTGCCCTCCATCAGGGTTAAACATGTCATTAGTAGAGGAGGCAGGTAGTGAATAGCTTATGAAGGAGGAGACTGTTAACGCCTACACTCTTCTACCTCAGACTCGTGCTATAGACCTTTCGGTATGTAACCCAGGATGGGTTCTCCTGCCTCGGCATCCTGAGTACTGAGATTACAGACATTCAACACTTTGCCTGGCTGCTATGGACTCTTGAAATATGGCCATAAGAATAGCCTGTGAACATAACGCTCACACCAGTTCCAAACGCTTAACCTGACAAACACTAGAAAACTCATTCATGGCAGGTGGTGGTGGCACACACCTTTAATCCCAGCACCCGAGAGGCAGAGGCAGGAAGATCTCTGGGAGTTTGAGGCCAACCTAGGTCTACATAGCCAGTTCTAGGTCAGCCAGGATTATACAGTAAAACCCTGATGCCAAAATAAATAAATAAATGAATAAATAATAAGATTTGATAAGACCAACCTGAGCACTTAAATGCCTGCTTTCTAAATGCTCACCAATACCCACCATTTTTGGAAGCACCATCTATAATACAGAAATTGAGTATGATGACTAAGGATATGATGACCCTTCTCTGGTTTGGAGTGGGTTCAGAGGCACCAGCTCACCCCTGGGTCTGAGTTCTGTTATTTTCAACAACAGCCATCACCTAAGGGTGAGTAAGGGAGGCAGGACCCAGGAGACAAACTCCAAGCTGAGCTTCTCTCTCAGTGAATGCCCGAAGACTGGCGGAGTGGGGAGGACTCTGGATGTAGTCCACATGTGTTTCTTGGGTGTTTAGTAACTTAGGGTGTCTATACTTACGGTCTTTGCAGTCCTGGCCTCTATAGCCAAAGGGACACCTGGAACACAGTCACAATAGGAAGCCACATTAAAACCCTTGTGGAGAGTATGCTGGAGTTCCCACCCCAATTTCTATTTCTCCCTCCCTGTCTGCCTTTCATTCTGTTCTCCTTGCTCTTTCTGTTATCTTCTTCATGCTACCACTTTTCCAAGAGAATATTCCACGTGGTTCTAGTATGGTGAGGTGTGCTCAATCCAATATGGTTTCATTTGCCACAGACTGAACATAGGCTCCTCTGAACTCCAGGAAGGCTTGGCAATTCAGGTGAAACTGAACCCAAGAGGCATGGAGTAGCACGGCCTCTCTCAAGGGGCAACTGGTGAGCAAGAGCCTGTCACTCATGTTCATCTTGGTTTCCTCATCCCACAGCGGGCACCTAACATGTCTTTCACAACTGTATGGTAGGTCCTACCTACGGTGGTTCCTGGAGATGCAGCCTGCTCCAAAACTCTTGGATGATGATGGCACAGTGATACGCTAAACCTGCCAACCCATGCCAGCTTGCCAGCTCCTGATGCTAAACCTTCATATGTGCTGCAAGTTCTAGCCTCGCTATGCTGTGACGAGACAAAGATGGAGTGGTTTCTTACGCTTCACACTTGTCATTGGTGGACCTCTGGTAGCCCGGCATGCACGCACACTTCAGTGGTCCGTCACCATTCTTTAAGCATTGCTTCTTCTCCTCTGCTCTGCAGGATCTAGAACACTCGAGAGCTTTAAAACAAAGTGATTTCAACGTCATTATCAGAAACAATATATTTTTTTAAAAGAAAATTTAAAAAGTGTGTGTGCGTACATGTGTGCACGTGTGTGTGTGTGTGTGTGTGTGTGTGTGGTGGCAGACATATTCCACAGCACATGTGTGAAGTCACAGGACAAGTTAATGGGTAGAGTCGGTTCTCTCCTCCCATCTTTATCTGGGTTTGGGGAATAAACTCAGGCTTGCTCAGAAAGTGCCTTTGCTGGTTGAGTCACCCCACCAGCACAGAGACAGTCTCTTCAACCCCAATATAGCATGTGATAGCATACAATTTTGTACACTGGCTTTTCTAAGTAAAATAAGAATGTGTCTTCTGTGAAGATGACCATGGGCCACCTCGGCAGCTCCTAGGCCATGGGAACTCAAGCAGTCAAGTTTGTCTTTTGAAAATACAAGAAGCCAGGTGGTGCTGTCACACATGTACACACTTTTAATTCCAGCCCTGGGCGGGGGGGGGGGGGGGGCAGGGAGCAGAGGCAGGCGGATCTCTGTGAGTTTAAGGCCAGCCTGGTCTACAGAAAGAGTTCTAGGATAGCTAGGACGGTTACACAGAGAAATCTTGTTTTGAAACAACCCCTGCCTGCCCCCCTCAAAGAAAAAGAAAAAGAAAGGAAACACAAGAGAAGAGAAAGTGAGAATTGTGAAGACTGTTTGGGAGCAGGGACACTTACGAAGACAAAAAGGATTCTGTGGGGTCGACCTTGTAAACCCAGGTTTGCATGCGCATTGTAAAGGATTCTGGCAGTCTTCATCATTCTTTTCACAGCCATAATAGTCACACCGATCTTCTTCTGTGAGAGGCATAAATAGTTCAAAAACACATTGAGCATACCCATATAATCCATGAAAGCTCTTCGCTGCCTCATGCTCAGTCTCTATTCAATATCATTTAATTTTTCCTTTTTTTAAATTTTTTTCAAGACAGGGTTTCTCTGTAGCTTTAGAGCCTGTCCTAGAACTCACTTTGTAGACCAGGCCAGCCTCAGACTCACAGAGATCTACCTGCTTCTGCCTCCCAAGTGCTGGGATTAAAGGCATATGCCCAGTTTTTGACACTGTTTAATTTTTTTTTTTTAATTTCAGTGTGTGTGAGTTATGCCATGTATGTTGGTTCCCACCAAGACCAAAAGAGGGTATCAGATTCTCTGGAGCTGGAGTTAAAGGTTGTTAGGCCCCTGACAAGGTTGCTGCAATACAAGCTCCAGTTCAGTCTTCACGATTAAACAGCAAGCTTTACTAACCACTGACCATCTCTGCAGGCCCTGACTATTATCCCCTTAGCCAGACAATCCTCTGGAAGACTCTGAGCAGGAGCATGTCTTGAGAAAACAGCCTTCCGAGAATGCTAGTCTAACTGTGGATTGCAAGCGCTGGGGTGAGAGGTGAGAGTGGAGGGGGTACAGGGTGAAAGGGTGGTTGGTGTTGCTCCTCTCTAATAAAGAGCCTGAGCTGCAGCAAACCCCGCAGCTTGAGAATAGTTCTGCCCTAGTTCGGTCACTATAACTGTGATGAAACACCATGACCACAGAGCAGGATGACAGGGAAGGGTTTATTTGGCTTCCACATCACAGCTCATCATCAAAGGAAGTCAGGACAGGAACTCTAACAGGGGACGAACCTGGAGACAGGAGCTGATGCAGAGACCATGGAGGAGTGCTGCTTTCTAGCTTGCTCCTCATGGCTTGCTCACCCTTCTTTCTTATAGAATCCAGGACCACTAGCCCAGGGGTGGCACCATCCATAATAGGCTAGGTCCTCCTCTATCAATCACTGATTAAGAAAATGCCCTACAGACTTGCTTACAGCCCAATCTAATGGGGGCGTTTTCTTAACTAAGGCACCTTCCTCTCTGATGATTCTAGCTTGTGTCAAGTTGACATAAAATTAGCCAATAGAACCTCCAATAGAAAGCCTAGAGAAAAAGAAGGCCCAGAAGAGAATATATTTTTGTGACTAGACCTGAAGAGCAGGAAAACTGAGGCACTGGTTTTCATCTGGGGCAGTCTGCTCAGAGGCTATCTCTAGACGTCAGCTTGTGGTTCTCAGTTCATTTGTTTAAGTATGCATGACTGGTTTCAGGGGGAGGGAGATGTGCAGAGAGGTGGTCCAAAAAGCACTTTTCAGAACTCACCGACTAGTTTCAGTTGTACCAGGGTTTATAGACATAGCAATGACTTGAGAGTGTAAAAATAAGAAAACTACAGTTGGGGGGATCCCAAAGATTATCCCGAGAAATGCCTTAGTTGTTCTTAGCTGAAGATCACCTGTGCTCAGTGTCCATGTTGATGGGACTCTCAGACTCTTCATGTGTGTGCTAAGTCCTATCTAGCACCAAACAAGGCCCAGGGCCCAGAGGTTATGGTGATGTTAGACAAACTTCTGAGCCCAAGAAGAAACATATCGGTGGATAGATGAGGGAGGCCCTTTAGGAGAGCTTTGTCACAAAGCACTTATGCTCCAGGTCCTAACATGTTGATAAGAGTCTTTGGCCAGAGCAGGGCGGTGGTGGCACACGCAGAGGCAGGCAGATCTCTGTGAGTTCGAGACCAGCCTGGTCTACAAGAGCTAGTTCCAGGACAGGCTCCAAAGCAACAGAGAAACCCTGTCTCGAAAAACAAAACAAAACAACATCCCAACAAAAGAGAAAGGGTACTGGGAAACTAAGCAAACATGCTTATTTATGTTGTAAAGAACAGAAATTAGGGGTTGGGGAGACAGCTCTGTCAGTAAAGTTTGCTGTGCAGGCCTGAGGACCTGAACTCAATCCTGAGCACCCACAGAAAAAAGCCAGGCATGGCGGTGCCCACTGGTAATTCTAGCTCTGGAGAAGTGGGGATATGGAGTCTTTTGTGGCACACTGGTAAGCCAGCCTAACCTAATCAGGGAGTTCAAAGATAAGCGAGACCTTGACTTTAAAAAGGTAGACTTCTGGGAGTAGCTCCGTGCTGGAACACCTGACTAGCATCCATGAGGTCCTAGGTTTAATCCCAGCACTAGGGGGATGCTCAGAACTCTCCCGGTGGATGGCTCCTGAGGGACAATACCTGGGGCTGACTTACAGACACCATCCCTCATACACACACACACACACACACACACACTCACACGGAGAAATTGGCTTTACAAACTAGGTCAGAGAGGTGCTAGTCACTAAAAAAGCAAAAAATGTGATGCTGGAAGGATGGTTCAGAAGTGAAGGGCACTTGATGCTCTTCCAAAGGACTTGGGTTTAGTTCTCAGCACCCTTATCAGGCAGCTGTTACTCCAGCTCCAAGGGACCAGACATCTGGCCTCTTTGGGTACCTCGACTCATGTGCACATACCTACACACAGACATACACATATAATTAAAAATAACCAAATAAAATATTTTTTGGAGCTGGTTGGTGGTAGTACAGTACTAGAGATAGAAGGATCTCTGAGTTCAAGGCTTGGCTGGTCTACAGAGTGAGTTCGAGGACAGCCATGATTACACAGAGAAACCCTGTCCCAACCCCCACCCTTCAAGAAAGGAAATTTGGAGACAACAGTCTCTCTCTTGACTTGACCCTCCTCACATATAATGGAAAAAGTAACAGAAAGTTAGATCTTTAGGCGAACCTTAAGTAAAGTTATTTAGTACTTACCAGTATAGTTCTCCATGTCGGTGTCATTTATAACTGCCTCTTTAATTATAGCAGATATAGTACTTTCATTTTGCTTTGTATTTTCACTAAACATATTTACTACTGATACATTGACAATCGTCTCATCAGCAGCACGCATTGCAGATCTTGTTGACTGAGAAGAGGAGACACTAAAAATGAAATAAAGATGTCCATGATGGATCAAACCGAGGAATCAACACATAGTATGTGGCCCTCCCTGATGTCCAACTCTCTTGAGCTCTTGTGCTGACCCACTGTCCTAGCTCCACAACTGTAGACCACAGATAGAGGCCTGGGTGGTACAGTGTCAAATTTTCAGCCTGGTGGCTTCTAGTTAACAAGTACTCAGAGAAGCTACAATGTAAACGACAATCTATTGGAAGACACTTGGGGTTCTCAAGCCAGGGATAGATGAGGTATGATTTGTAACCAAAGGATCCAACTAAACTAGTTCATATGATGCCTGGTCCATGTGAACAAGATGCCCAGCAACCACCAACAGCCTTCCTTCTCTGGGCCACACCCTGCTTACCCTGGCCTGAGTCCATATGGTATTAGAGGCATCACTGAGGCACGCAGTTCCTTGTGTAGAGAGCTCTGGCTAGGCACCTCTTCTGTGTGTGTGTGTGTGTGTGTGTGTGTGTGTGTGTGTGTGTGTGTATGTGTGTGTGTGTATGTGTGTGTGTGTGTGTGTGTGCTTGCATATGGAAGCTGACTGACATCACTCCACCTTAATATCATTCTTTTTAGTTGCTTGGTCAATAGTGTTTATGAGAAAAAAAAACATAACAGAAAACTACTTTAGCTCCTAGATTGTTCCTAAGCTCTGAGGACGTTTACCTTGTTTTGAGCTATTCAATCTTTTTCTGGGCAAGGGATATTTGGGGTCATTGTAGTTCTTTTTGTGGGGGAGGGGTTACTACATTTCAATATATTACAATAAGTTTTATTTTATATTTTGTGTGTATGTTTTGCTTGCATGTATGTCTCTGCACTGTATGTATGACTGGTGCCCACAGAGGCTAGAAGAGGGTGCTAGATGCCCTGGAACTAGAGTGAGCCACCACATGCGTGTTGGGAATCAAACCTAGGTCTTTTGGAGGAGCAGCCAGTGCTTTTAACCACTGACCCCATCTCTCTAGCCCTTACTTCTTTTTAATTTCTTTCTTGGGCTCTTTCTCATTACTAGATTCACATAGTAGCACGAGTTTTCTTTCTTTCTTTTTCTTTTTTATTGTTTTTGTTTTTTTGTTTTTCAAGACAGGGTTTCTCTGTAATTTTGGTGCCTGTCCTGGAACTAGTTCTTATAGACCAGGTTGGCCCCGAACTCACAGAGATCTGCCTGACTCTGCTTCCCGAATGCTGGGATTAAAGGTGTGTGCCATAAGTTTTCTTATTCATAGCCTCCTTCATGTCTGGAGTTACATTGTTCTTGACATACTGAAAGAACTTAAATTTTTTTTAAATTACATTTATTTGTGTGTGTGTATGTGTGTGTGTACACGTGTATGTATCCATGTGTATGTCTCCATGAGTGCTACAGCACACATGTGGAGGTCAGAGGACAACTTTCTATAATTCTGGGGATCCAACACAGGTCATCAAGGTTGGCAGCAAGTGTCTCCATTCACTGAGCCATCTTGTTTGCCCAAGAACTGTTTCTTACATCTTCATCTTCTTCCCTCATATAACCTGCTACATCCTGTCCCGTGATGTGCTTCACTGGACCGTGACCAGGAAGTCACCTGGAGCTACTAGGATGGATAAGTCTCTACCCACAGCTCCTTTCTGGGCCCCAAACTTTATTACAGTTGCCATTCTGGCAAGAAGCATCCAACCACCAGTGAAGGCCTTGGCTGACCACCAGAGCTTACCACAGAGTGTTCCTCTCTAACTACCTCCACCTGCCTTTGTAGACCTTGGCCATGCCAAACCTGCAGAGAAGCCTGTGGGCCAGCAGCAGACAAGAGCTGAGCCTATAGCTCTTACATAGTATCCTGGTGGATCATGAGCACAGGCTCATACCCCTTCCATCCATCATAAGCAATCTGAAAGACGATGTCCCTGTCAGCTACATGAGCTTTCTCCTGTATGTGGGTGTGTTCTATTTGTTTTTGTCCTAGACCACCAAACATTTCTGAGCATAGTAGCCAGTTTTACCTTCTCATTGTCTCCTAAATTCTCTTGTTATCTCCTAAAGTACCCTTATCCTTGGGGACTTTAGCAAACACATTCTGTAACGCCATGGCTCTATATAGACCTGCAGGCCCTTTAGTGAAGGGGGTAGGAGACAGCCTCACTGAACTTGGAGCTCACCAACTTGGCTAGGCTGGATGGCCAACAAGCTCCAGGGATCCACTGTTTCCACTCCCCGAGCACTGGGAGTGAGGCTTTTACATGGGTACTGGGGATCCAAATTTAGCTCCCTGTGCTGTGGGCAAACTCTTTTCCAACTGAGCCATCTCCCCACCCCCATGGCTGTCTCTAACTCTTCTTAACACAAGATGGCTCATGGCCTGGGAGCTCGAGAGAAGAGCAGAAGTGAAGACAGGCTGCCTCCAAAGCAGCTCACTGGGCCAGAGCAAACTTACCGCACTTTAATAATTATAGTCTGTCCAAAACCATAATCAGTCTTATTAAGTGCATTTTCAAACTGTGGAGGAGAATAGATATAAAAACAAGGTGAAATATTTTTAAAATTATATTCTAGGCTTAAATGTTGCTTTCCTTCTTTTCTTTTTCCCTTCCTCCCTTCTCTCTTTTTTCCTTCCCTCCCCCTCCCTCTTTTATCCCTTCCTATTGCCTTCCCTCCTTCCCTCCCTCCCTCCCTCCCTTCCTTCCTGAGACAGGGTTTCATGTAGTCCAAGTTGGCCTCAAACTTACTATGTAGCCAAGGATGACCTTAAACCTCTGATTCTCCTCCTGCCTCCACCTCTGAAATGCTGGGATTACAGGCTTGTACCACCACACCTAGATGATAAACTGCTGGAGATCTAACCTAGGAGCAAGCACTCTACTGACTAAGCTACACACATATTAAGCAACTGCTCTACTCCAGCCCTTTTCACTTTACATTTGTATATTTAGGTATCTGTTTATTTCATGGTTCTAGGAATTGAACCCAGGGCCCTGTACATGCTAGGCAAGTGTTATACCACTAAGCCATCTGCCATAGGACCCACATTAAAGATGGATGCAGGAGCTGGAGAGATGGCTCAATGGTTAAGAGTACTTGAACATTCTTCCAGAGGTCCTGAGTTCAATTCCCAGCAATTACATGGTTATACCGTTATAATGAGATTTGGTGCCCTCTTCTGGTGTGAATGAAGACAGAACACTCATATACACAAATACATGAATAAATTAATCTTAAGAAATAAAAGATAAGTGCAGTGGCACACATCTGTAATCCCAGAATTCATTCATTCATTCTTTCTTTCTCTCTCTCTCTCTCTCTCTCTCTCTCTTTCTTTCTTTTGTTCTTTCTTTCCCTGTTTTTTTAGACAGGGTTTCTTTGTGTTGAATAACCCTGGCTGTCCTGTCCTGGAACTCGCTCTGTAGACCAGGCTGGCCTTGAACTCACAGAGATGGGCCAGCTTCCCCCTCTCTAGTGCTGGCCCTAAGAGCATGAGCTGTATTACCAGTGTGCCTGAAACAAGAGGCCATGCCTCAGCAAGGTGGAAGGAGAGCCAGCTCCTGAAGATTGTCCTCTGATACAGACACTGTGACAGTACTTACAACTGTGCATGCACGCATACAAAAAACAAAATATTTTAAAAAGAGCAAGAGCATAAAAAAAACTCTCTAAAACCAGGTAAACAAAAACACTCTTTAAAACCATAAGTGTTTGGTTGGAAGCTTCACCCCAGCCACTGACACCCCTATACCCAAAGAGTCTGGGATGTTTGGGTGGGGCTTCACCCCAGCTCCTGGCATCCATTTTGGAATGTTGGGTGGAAAGTTCCATTTCAAGCCCCCTCCCCTGGGAGTTGCCACAGTCCAGACTCCACCTCCGAAAAAGCCTGCCAAACAGTGTCCCCTCTCCAGAGAGGGTCAAGACCACATCCACAAACTATTTAAACTGCCCCTCAGAGAACAAACACATGGTCTTTCTGTTTCTCCCCACCCCCCATATCCATTAAACCTGGGCTTTTTCTAATTTGGTTTGATTTGGTCTGATTTGGATTACTGCCTCGGTGGGGGGGAGAGGCTTGTCTTTAGAATAAGAATGCATTGCTACCTCCCTGGCTCCCCCAGGAACACCCAGCCCTGGCTGAGCTCAGGTGTCTAAACACTGACAGGCTGGATGCTGTGGAGAGTTTCCCAGGCCCAACAACTGTGGCTCCAGAATGGCTTTCCACACTCCACTCCTTCCCTGCCAACACCACTCTCAAGAATAGAAATGTTTTTGTCATTTATTTTGAAAATGGAGGGAGAAAGTGTCAGATATAGTTCCTCTATTACAGGTAAAAATAAGCCATATTGGTATAGAAATTTATGCAAATCTGAACATAGAAAAAAAAGAAAAATGTCTTTACCACTGAGTTACATTCCCCAGTACAAAATAATGAATTATTAATAAGTTGTTATGCTATGGGATAAAACCCTAGACTTTTCTCAGGCTAGAAATATACTCTACCACTAAGTCACAGCCCCAGCCTGCTCTGAAATAATCTAAGACACCATTAGAGCTCTTGTCTATTCAAAACCAACCCATAACTTCTGTAACTGGCAGGTCTGGAGCAGCGTCCGGAGGCTGCTTTCCGGAGGCATGGCCGGGCTATGCCGGGTGCTCTGTCTGCTGTGCACAGCCATTCAACCATTGGGAGGCCCAAGAATCTGGAAGGATCGTCCTGCCCACCGGTGGGGTACAGTTTACTTTGTCAACAACAGACACAACTGTGCCATGTGACCACATGAAGACAGGCTCCACCCCCTGAAGGGCCAGGTGAGAAGGGAAAGTGGGAAAATACTTACAAATTTGACAACCTTTCTGTACAAGGCTTGATAGGCTGGAGAGGTTTTATTATCCAAGCCAATTGTTTCCATCACTTTCACGCCAATCTCTCCAGGGAATGTCTTTCCTGAAAACCAGGGAAACCCTTTCTGAGCTATTTAATGTTAATTGGGCTGCTTCAATTTTGTGTTTAAAACATAAGATACTTTTCTTCTTCTTTTTTTCTCTTTCCTTTTCATTTCTCCCATTAGACATGGTCTCACTGTGTAGTCCTGGCTACTGGCTGGTCTGGAATTCCATTTGTAGACCAGGCTGGCCTCAGACTCACAGAGAACTGCCTGCTCTGCCTCCCAAGTGCTGGAATTGAAGACACGTGTCACCACATCTGGCTTATTTTTTCATTCTTGAGCTTTAATGCTCACTATTTAAAATAGAAGGGCTTTGGGGGGATTATTTACATAGAATAGATCCCCAGAAATTAGATTTTCAGGGCTCTGGCAATGCTTGCTCTCATGTTGTATTAGTACACCCCAGAGCAGCAGAGGGAAGGTTTCTATCTAGTACAGTCCACAGCAGACTTTCAGTCCAGCTTGCTGGCAATCTGCCTTGCTCCATCTCTCCTCCCCAGGGTTGGCTGGGACAAAAGCAAGAAACTCTTCCCAGCCCTTCCTTGCCTTCGGTTTGTCTTCTGCCCCTTTCACTTTCATTTGAGATCCGCTAAAGCCCACTTTAGGTATGGATGGAGGGCTCTGCATGGTTATCCCTTGAACTTACCTTTCACACATGATGCTGATTCATTTTGATAGTAGTAGCCTTCTGGACACACGCAGAACCATTCGGTATTCAGGTTAACACAAGAAGCAGATGCTCCACAGGGGTTAGGTTTACATGGATCTTGGGGACCTTAGATGGAGGAGAAAAGTGTTGCGGGAGCTCCTCCCACTCCTTCAGCCAATAGCCGCTGAGATACCAGCCCATTGGGGTGTGGTCTCTCTCCCTTTAAAAAAGTGGCCACTTCCCTCTCCTCTTTCTCTTACTTCCTGCTCTACTTCCAGTGACTAGACTCCCTTCCTGATTGCGCAGAGGGCTGTTGTCTGGGACAGTGATCTGTAAGTTTTTTCCCCTTTAAATAAATAACCGTTCTATAAATCATAATTCCAAACTGGTGTGGGATTGTTTGTGAATTACGCATTCACCTTCATCTGGTGCCCAAAGTGGGGCGCCACTCTGTTGATGGAGCTGTGGCCAGCTGCATCCCACCACCTGGCTAGCTTTACCTGAAATAATTACACGGAAACTGTATTCTTTTAAACACTGCCTGGCCCATTATTTCCAGCCTCTTATTGGCTAGCTCTTACATATTGATCTAACCCATTTCTAATAATCTGTGTAGCCCACGAGGTGGCTTACCAGGGAAGATCTTAACCCATGGCTGTGTCGGGTGGGAGAATCATGGTGACTGCCTGACTCGGCTTCTTTCTCCCAGCATTCTGTTCTGTTTACTCCACCTACCTGATGGACTAAATCCACTTAAAAACCTGAGAGAGCTTAATTTTAAACAGACAAAAGATTTTTGCTGTTTGTTGGTGGTGTGCTGTAGAGATTTCCTGATTCAGCAACAGCAGCAGAAAAAAAGCTGCGTCATTTTAAAGCGTGGCTTCCTGGGGCTGTGCCGCCAGTACAAACTCTGGCTTTAAAGCATTCCAATGGCTTTTATGGGACTGGATCTTTGTGTTCCCACTTGGGATCAGAAGGAGAGTGCTCTGAGACCGGGTGATGGCTCAGCGCTCCCTGCCTGCACCTGGGCAGATGGCAGAATCAGGCTTAGGCAGGCAGAAGAGCATGGCGGATTCCTGCCACCATACAGAGACATGTTTTCAGACTGCGCAGTACTCTGCATGTCATATTTGGCTGTAACTCGGATGAAAAGAGTTTCTGTGCTGCACGCTCAGTCTCAGAGTTAAACTGCTGACTGTGGCTCCAATGTGGACTTGCTGTGTGCCTGGAACTGTGGCAGCTCAGGGCCACCAAATGGATCTGAGGCAGGAGTGGCTGCTCCATGCTGAACTGTGCTGATCTCAGGCAGGAAAGATCGTAATTACCATAACAACAGCGCAGTTAAGGTTTAGACTGGCAGTAAACAGGCAGTACCGTATTACCCCTACATGGTGCAACTTAAGTTTTTACGAAGTGCTTAACATTTTAAGAAACGCTCCTGGATAGTAAAAAAAATTACAGATTCACAATAGAACAGATTTCAGACATAGAAGACCTATAAATGGATCACAGTGTTGGATGAATGTACGTAGGCTTGAGAGAGAGAAGAAAAAGAATATAGAGAATAAAGTTAATGGTTTAAAAAAAAGGGTAAAGTCTTTAAAGAGACAGAATACAGATATAGATTAAAAGAAATAAAGAAAAATAAGCCACATAAAAATGGAAAATTCACAGAGAGTCTGTATTGTGTACATTGTGTTTTCTTTAAAATTTTTGACTGTGAAGGAGCTAAGTACAGAGAAACATTTCATTACATGGGCTGCCAAGTGGAACCAGAATGGATATCATGAGGGTATGACTACAGAATTTGGGTCTAAGGATATGATGCTTTGGAAAAGGTCTTTTTTTGTTTTCACAGAGAATGAGACCCTGTGGATTGCTTCTATCCTAATATGGTATGATAGACCACGCCCTCCAGAAAGGTTGCTGTGAAAACCTTCAAAAAATTACTTCACTCAACTACCGACTGAGATGAATCTGGCACACAGGTTACACTATAAAAGACCTAAATTACAACGCCCCCATTCAGCAGGAAGCAGTTTGGAGAAAGATAACTACGTCCATATTCCCAAATATTATTTATAAATGTTCTTTTACATTTAAAGGGGGATATGATATAGATATGAATAATTTCCATTGGTATGGATTTTAAGGTCCCAATTTTGTTATATGTATATGTATTTCTGAAGATATTGTGACTGTGTAGTTCATTTTTAAAATGTAATGTATAATTAGGAAATATAGGTTGTTAGTAGATAGTCATCAATAATAATCAAGCTTGTAGTCATGTTAGTTAGATTTTCTAGATATATAGAGATATATTTTAGTAAGATAGACATTCTCCATATCTTTCAAAGACTGCAGAATATGGCATTTAATGTTTTAATAACTTAGGGCTTTTCATGACAATGAGACACATCTGCTCCTGACAGCACCAATCTACTTCAAGAAGAAGATGGGCATCGAAGAGGCTCCTTATGGAGTTGGTTAGCCATTTCGGCAAGAAACTGCTCTTCCCTAGACTGATGCATGAACTGGACATAACCCACAGAGAAAGGACTGCTGAACTTGCCTAAAGGTGAGATGGTCTTTTGGGGTTCCTGACCCATGAAAGAGTGTGCGAGACATTCTGCAGGACACAGCAGAAAGTGACTGAACTGTCTTTGGAATTTCCTGCTTGATGAAAATGTCTGCTGGATACTATGGGCCTGGAGGCTGAAGATGGATGCCCCAACGGTACAGAGGAATTTTGGGTTTGGGTGACTGTCCAGACAGCGAGATGTCTCTGTCATTTCTAGAGTTTGAAGTTTCTTATTTCTTGTTTACTTAGGTAATATTATATCCTTCTGGAGTCTTTGATGGAGTTGAAGAATGGATAGATAATTATAGTTTTCCTTAGTTTTGATAAAAGATAAAATAGATATAAATATTGTAACTGTAATTCTTGCTTGATAACTGTTTTGTTATGTGTAATCTTACTATGTTAAAGTTAAAGCCTTTCTTTTTTGTTTAAACAGAAAAAGGGGAAATGATGGGGGAGAGTCTTCTGTTTTGTGTTAATTTCATTGGTTAAATAAAGAGACTGCTTTGGCCCTGATAGGACAGAAAATTAGGTTGGTGGAGTAAACAGAACAGAATGCTGGGAGAAAGAAGCCGAGTCAGGCAGTTGCCATGATTCTCCCATCCGACACAGCTGCAGGTTAAGATCGTCCCTGGTAAGCCACCTCGTGGGCTACACAGATTATTAGAAATGGGTTAGATCAATATGTAAGAGCTAGCCAACAAGAGGCTGGAACTAATGGGCCAGGCAGTGTTTAAAGGAATACAGTCTGTGTAATTATTTCGGGTAAAGCTAGCCAGGTGGCGGGATGCAGCCCGCCACCGCTCCATCAACAGAAAGGCATTACAAATTCACAGAACTCAGTCATAACCCCTGGTGACTCATGTCTCCTCTTCACACCCTCCCTCTAGACACACTTGTTTTTCTTTTGAGACTGCTGAGGAGGAAGTGGAGTGGCCTGGAGAAGCTCCCATCCCTGAGTCCATCACAGCTGTCCCCATGACTGTGATCCCTCTGTCCTTCTATACATAGAAGACTGGGGAAGCAGCATCATAGACAGGCTGAGTTCTATTGACTTACCTACTCATTTCTTAGATCTAGCAAGGAAAACTATCAAAAGTATTGGGAGATACAAACTTACTCTCTTTGGGCAAGTCACTATTTTCTTTGGGTCCTATCTTCCTTCTCTGAGATCAGCACAGTGTATTTGAACTTTAAACTCTGAGTTTCAGGAGTTATCTGGACCAGGTTGGTAAATTAAGGCTCCTAAGCTGTAACTAACCAACCCTTTATTTTTATAAATAAAGTTTAATTAGGATATAGCCAGATTCATTTTTACATTGGCATGGCTGCTTTTATGTTAAAATGCCAGAAGTTAACAGCTTTAACAGAGACCCTGTGTTGCTCACAACGCCTAAAATATGTACCATTTTTCTGTCACCAATGAACTTCGATGACACTTATTCTAGGACAAGCTTGGCAAAATGAGCCAAGCGGTTTCTGTTTTAGTAACATTGACTAGTGTCACACAAATGGCTATTCTTGGGCCTTGGTCAGCCAGCAACTGTTTGAAGATAGCCATCACTTGACTTGTTAACCCTCGGGCTCAAATTCAAAGGCTTGACTCAGTTTTCAAATTGTGATCAGTCATCATCTTGACTGATTCCAGGATAGTGCTGACTTTTTCCTTAAAGACTAGGGTGGCCGGCAAGCCAGTGCTTAGTCAAACCTGGTCTTTTGAGAGAACCTGAAGCTGCTTCCAGTTCTGCTATGGGTAGCTTTCACAAAGATCAAACTCATAAAACACGCACTCCACAGCTGACAGGTAGCAGCAGGAAGGTAAATAATGCAACTGATTGCTCGTTTAGGGGCTCATCTGTCATGACTGAACTTTGAGGTTTTACCCTGACCACTTCCTTTCTCTCCAGAACACAACAACACATCACACCCTCAGTGCTGTGCACCCCAGTGAGGAGACTTTAGGGATCACTCTTACCTGTAGAGGTAGTCTGTGAGGAGACACCAGGAGACTCGGTTGTCCCAGAGGGATCAGGAGTACTGCCAGACTCGGGCCCCTCAGTGGGATCGGGAGTACTGCCGGACTCGGGCCCCTCAGAGGGATCGGGAGTACTGCCGGATTCGGGCGCCTCAGTGGGATCGGGAGTACTGCCGGACTCGGGCCCCTCAGTGGGATCGGGAGTACTGCCGGACCCGGGCCCCTCAGAGGGATCGGGAGTACTGCCGGATTCGGGCCCCTCAGGGGGATCGGGAGTACTGCCGGACTCGGGCCCCTCAGGGGGATCGGGAGTACTGCCGGACTCGGGCCCCTCAGGGGGATCGGGAGTACTGCCGGACTCGGGCCCCTCAGGGGGATCGGGAGTACTGCCGGACTCGGGCCCCTCAGGGGGATCGGGAGTACTGCCGGACTCGGGCCCCTCAGGGGGATCGGGAGTACTGCCGGACTCGGGCCCCTCAGGGGGATCGGGAGTACTGCCGGACTCGGGCCCCTCAGGGGGATCGGGAGTACTGCCGGACTCGGGCCCCTCAGGGGGATCGGGAGTACTGCCGGACTCGGGCCCCTCAGGGGGATCGGGAGTACTGCCGGACTCGGGCCCCTCAGGGGGATCGGGAGTACTGCCGGACTCGGGCCCCTCAGGGGGATCGGGAGTACTGCCGGACTCGGGCCCCTCAGGGGGATCGGGAGTACTGCCGGACTCGGGCCCCTCAGGGGGATCGGGAGTACTGCCGGACTCGGGCCCCTCAGGGGGATCGGGAGTACTGCCGGACTCGGGCCCCTCAGGGGGATCGGGAGTACTGCCGGACTCGGGCCCCTCAGGGGGATCCGGAGTACTGCCGGACTCGGGCCCCTCAGGGGGATCCGGAGTACTGCCGGACTCGGGCCCCTCAGGGGGATCGGGAGTACTGCCGGACTCGGGCCCCTCAGGGGGATCCGGAGTACTGCCGGACTCGGGCCCCTCAGGGGGATCCGGAGTACTGCCGGACTCGGGCCCCTCAGGGGGATCGGGAGTACTGCCGGACTCGGGCCCCTCAGGGGGATCGGGAGTACTGCCGGACTCGGGCCCCTCAGGGGGATCGGGAGTACTGCCGGACTCGGGCCCCTCAGGGGGATCGGGAGTACTGCCGGACTCGGGCCCCTCAGGGGGATCGGGAGTACTGCCGGACTCGGGCCCCTCAGGGGGATCGGGAGTACTGCCGGACTCGGGCCCCTCAGGGGGATCGGGAGTACTGCCGGACTCGGGCCCCTCAGGGGGATCGGGAGTACTGCCGGACTCGGGCCCCTCAGGGGGATCCGGAGTACTGCCGGACTCGGGCCCCTCAGGGGGATCGGGAGTACTGCCGGACTCGGGCCCCTCAGGGGGATCGGGAGTACTGCCGGACTCGGGCCCCTCAGGGGGATCGGGAGTACTGCCGGACTCGGGCCCCTCAGGGGGATCGGGAGTACTGCCGGACTCGGGCCCCTCAGGGGGATCGGGAGTACTGCCGGACTCGGGCCCCTCAGGGGGATCGGGAGTACTGCCGGACTCGGGCCCCTCAGGGGGATCCGGAGTACTGCCGGACTCGGGCCCCTCAGGGGGATCCGGAGTACTGCCGGACTCGGGCCCCTCAGGGGGATCGGGAGTACTGCCGGACTCGGGCCCCTCAGGGGGATCCGGAGTACTGCCGGACTCGGGCCCCTCAGGGGGATCCGGAGTACTGCCGGACTCGGGCCCCTCAGGGGGATCGGGAGTACTGCCGGACTCGGGCCCCTCAGGGGGATCCGGAGTACTGCCGGACTCGGGCCCCTCAGGGGGATCCGGAGTACTGCCGGACTCGGGCCCCTCAGGGGGATCGGGAGTACTGCCGGACTCGGGCCCCTCAGGGGGATCCGGAGTACTGCCGGACTCGGGCCCCTCAGGGGGATCGGGAGTACTGCCGGACTCGGGCCCCTCAGGGGGATCGGGAGTACTGCCGGACTCGGGCCCCTCAGGGGGATCGGGAGTACTGCCAGACTCGGGCCCCTCAGGGGGATCCGGAGTACTGCCAGACTCGGTTGTCCCAGAGGAATCAGTTAAAGTATTATCACCAGAATTGACTGGAATAAAATTTGTGCTGTCATTGTCATCAAGTAGATTCTCAGGTACCCCAGGCTCGCTGGCAGTAGTTGAAGGAGAGGCTGTTGTGATTTGGGTTGAGAGAACAAAGAAGACAAGTGTCAGGAGACAGTGCTTGGGTAAATAATGGCAATACTGTCATTTCTAATCAGTACTCAACTTAGGATTTTCTGGAAAAATGAACATATATGATTATGTTAATAGTGGAAACATAGGACTACTTCTTTTCCAAAAATAATTTATCTTTATTTGCATTGGAGTTTTGCCTGCTTGTATGTCTATGTGAAGATGTCAAATCTTGGAGTTACAGATAGTTGTTAGCTGCCAGGTGGTTGCCAGGAATTGAACCCAGGTCCTCTAGAAGAGCACTCAATGTACTCTTAACCACTGACATATCCCTCCAGCCCCTACATAACTTCTGAACACAAAAAAATAAATAAAATTCAACAGGCAAAAATAGAAAATATTATTGAAAACTCTGACACCTAACGCAGTTTAACAATAGCTATGGAGAAAGTAGTGTAGAGTTGGGGTGATAATGTTTATTACGAAGAGTACCAAGTCAGGGGGATGTATATGCCTGTGGAGGCCAGCCTGGGATACGTGTCTCAAAAATGAAAATGAAAACAAAAAAAAATGCTGATATAAGTACCTGAACTTTGGAGACAGAAGGAAGGGGCTCGGGAGTTCAAGGTCATCCTTTGTTACCTATCAAGTTTTGAGATAGCCTGATCTACAGAAGACCATATCCCAGTAAAAAAGAGATTAGTACCAAGTAATAACAAAATTTATATCTATAGTTGGGAAACTGTCAATCTGTGGTTAATAATTTCCCAGACAATTGAAAGTGTCACAAGGTGGCGCTGTTGTCACCAGGAAGAGGATTTTTGTGACTTCCTCTATTTTAAGGCAACTGCTCCAGTTCTCTGATGCATGGCAGTTTTCTCTGTTGGTAGTCTGTAGAAGGGGAACTTTAGAAGGAAGTGTTTAAAGAATAATTACATAGAATGTATAGAAATACTTCATTAAATCCTGATTAAAGTTCTTCCAGGATTTGTTTTTGTTTTTGTCTTTGTTTTGAGACAGGTCTCCAGCTGTCCTCAAATTTACAATCTTTCTGAGTGCTAGCCCAGGTTTTATTCTGGTGTATTTATCCACAAAAAAGTCTAGATACATCTACTTGGAGAGAATAAGATAAGTAAGTGATCCTCGTCTAAAGACTATGCTAGATATCAAAGCTGCATTCGTGGCTTCTAGAACACCCAGGATGCTTGGAAGAGTGACTTTTAGTGACCCACTTCCCAGAATTCCTCTTGTCTCTAAGAACTCTGATATTGATATCAGATTATACAAATTAGGGAAAAAAAAACCTTTGTGGGGAGGAAGCAGTTCCTATGCCCTGTGATACAGAATGATGAGATTCACTATGACTTCCTCCACAGGTCTGGCAGTCCCTGGGGCACAGCCTGGCTCTTCACTTTGGACAGGGCTTAGCTACTAGTAGCTCAGAAGTGATAAGGAGATAAGCGATTGTTCTTCTAGGGCCAAGAAAATAGTTATTAGCTGGTCATAGTCACATGTGGACACTACTGCCCTCTCCTGGAATGTTCTTATTTATCAAGGGCTTACTCTGTGCCTGATGGGACCCATGAGACAGGCATAAACGCCCACGTGTGAAGAGCCTGTTAACATGGGGTCAAAATGATCTCTCCTCACCCTCTCTCTCTCTTTCTCTCTCTCTCTCTCTCTCTCTCTCTCTCTCTCTCTCTCTCTCTCTCTCTCAGATAGGGTTTTTCTGTGACTGCCCTGATTGTCCTAGAACTTGTCCTGTAGACCAGGCTTGCCTCAAACTCATGGAGATTAGCCTGCCTCTGCCTCCCAAGTGTGGTGTAGGAGGGTCTTCTTTCTATGTGTTGCTTTCATTGGTTGAATAAAGAAAACTGCTTTGGCCTTTTGATAGGGCAACCTTTAGTTGGGTGTAGTAGAACAGAACAGAATTCTTGGAGGAAGAAAGCAGGGTCAGAGAGAGCTACCACGGAGCCAGCCACCTGGTCAGACATGCTGAATCTTTCTTGGTAAGCCACACCCTCGTGGTGACATACAGATTATTAGAAATGGGTTGAATCAAGATGTGAGAGTTAGCCAAAAAGAGACTAGAACTAATGGGCCAGGCAGTGTTTAAATTAATACAATTTCCATGTAATTATTGCGAGGGTTAAGCTAGCTGGGCAGCCGGAAGCCAGGCGGGAACGCAGCCTGCCACCCTATTTACTACAGAGTGGCACTCCAACGTGGTAACTAACTCCATGTAAAATCTAAGAGGGCTTAAAAGAGAAAGAGAGTTTAACACAGCTTTTTGCTGTTTGCTAGCGGTTTTTCCTAACTCAGCAGCCATAAAAAAAAAAAGCCACACCATTTTAAAACAAGGCTTTCTGGGCCCTGGCGCTGGTGCAAACTCTGGCTATGGAGCATTTGTGGGCCCACTCAGGGTTGGGAACAAAGTAGCTGAGACCATGCCTGTGGCTCAGCTCTTCCTGCCTGGGTAGGTAGCAGGATCAGGTCTACTAGAAAGTGGCGGTTTTGAAATACCAGTTTCTTGGCTGTGCCACCATTGCTACCTCTGGCCCCTGCGGGAGACAGAGCATTTGAATGGGGTTTTGTGAATAAAGTGCTTGATGGCAATGTGGACTGCTGTGTGCCTGTAACTGTGCGTGGCTCAGGGGCACCAAATGGCTCTGAGGCACAAGCGACTCTGTCATGTTGGACTGGGTGGGGCAAGCCTGTAGTATCTGTTTTTGCCTTAAGAATGTCACAGCTTAGATTCTTAAGCACTTAGCGATTTAAAGGCACAAATCAAAAATGTTCCTGGACAGCAAAGAGTTACAGACAATGCAATAGGACAAATGCAGACGTAAAAGACTTCTAAATGGGTCATTGTATTAGCTAGACAAACGTAGGCTTGGGAGAGAGAAGAAAAAGAATATAGAGAATAAAGTTAATGCTTAAAAAAAGGGGTAAAGTCTTTAAAGAGACAGAGTATAGATAGTTATGGATTAAAAGGAATAAAGAAAACTAAGCCATGTAAAAATGGAAAATTCACACAGAGTTTGGATTCTGTGTATTATTGTATTTTCTTTCAATTTTTTGACTGTGAAGGAGCTAAATACAGAGAGACATTTCATTGTGTGGTCTGCTAAGCTAATCCAACATGTGTATTATAAAGCTATCTTGACATCAGAATTTGGATCTAAGGATATGATGCTTTGGAAAAGAGGTTCTTCTTTTGTTTTCACAGAGGATGAGACCCTGTGGATTGTTTCTATCCCAATATGGTATGATAGACCACGCTTTCCTGAAAAGTTGCTGTGAACACCCTCAAAAAATTACTTCACTCAACTGCCGACTGAGATGAACCTGGCACACAGGATACACCATGAAAGACTGATTAACAGTGCCCTCATACAGCAGGAAAAAGTTTGGAGAGAAATAGCTACGTCCATATTCCCAAATATTGTTTATAAATGTTCTTTTACATTTAAAGGGGGATATGATATAGATATGAATAATTTGCATTGGTATAAATTTTGCTTTGTTGATATAAATTTAAGGCCAATCTTGTTATATGTATATTTCTGGTCTTGATTAAAGTATTGTGATTGTGTAATTCATTTAAAAATTTAATGTATAATTAGGAAATATAGGTTGTTAATGAATAATCATCAATAATAGTCAAGCTTATAGTCATGTTAGTTAGATTTTCTAGATATATAGAGATATATTTCAGTTAGAAAGGCATTCTTCATATCCTTCAAAGACTACAGAATATGGCATTTAATGTTTTAATAACTTAGGGCTTTTCATGACAATGAGACACATCTGCTCCTGGGAGCACCAATCTACTTCAGGAGAAGAATGGGCATCGAAGAGGCTCCTTATGGAGTTTGATAGCCATTTGGGCAAGAAACTGCTCTTGTCTGGACTGTTGCATAAACTGGACACAAAGAACCCACAGAGAAAGGACTGTTGAACTTGCCTAAAGGTGAGATGATCCTTCGGGGTTCCTGATTCATAAAAGAGTCTGTGGGACTGTCTGCAGGATACAGAAGAAAGTGTCTGAACTGTCTTTGAATTTTCCTGCTTTGTGGAAATGTCTGCTGGACTATGGGCCTATAGGCTAAAGATGGATGCCCCAACAGTACAGAAAAACTTTGGGTGACTGTCCAGGCAGTGAGATGTCTCTGTCAATTCTAGAGTTTTGGAAGTTGCTTACTTCTCATTTACTTAGGTAATATTATATCCTTCTGGAGTCTTTGATGGAGTTGAAGAATGGATAGTTATAGTTTTCCTTAGTTATGATAAAAGATAAAATAGATCTAAATATTGTAACTGTAATTCTTGCTTGATAACTTTTGTTATATGGAATTTTACTATGTTAAAGTTAAAGCCTTTCTTTTTTGTTTAAACAGAAAAAGGGGAAATGGTGTAAGAGGATCTTCTTTCTATGTGTTCTTTCATTGGTTGAATAAAGAGACTGCCTTGGCCTTTTGATAGGGCAACCCTTAGATGGGCATAGTAGACAGAATAGAATGCTGGGAGGAAGAAGGCAGTGTGGCAGACACCATGGCTCTCCTCTCCGAGACGGACACTGGTTAGACTCATTCTGGTAAGCCACAGTCAAGTGGCGATACACATTAATGGAGATGGGTTAAACTAATATGTGAGAGTTAGCCAATGAGAGGCTGGAGATAATGGGCCAGGCAGTGTTTAATTAATACAATTTCTGTGTGGTTATTTCAGGGGTTAAGGTAGCTGGGCAGTGGGAATGCAGCCCGCTCCTCATTACTACACAAGTGCCTTCAAGTTCTCCCATGATTTAGCCACCATGCCTGGCTCCCACCCTTTACTTTCATATCACATGTGAGTCACCATGCCCAACATGTGTCACTGTGTTAGCTACAACTTGTCCAGGGGTCTGTGGAAAGACATGCAGGAGCCAGTGGAGGACAGAAGAGGTGTTGGATCCCCTGGAACTGGCGTGCCAGATGATCGTGGGTACTGGGAGCTGAGGCTAGGTTCTCTGTAAGAGCTATAAACACTTGTAAACACTGAGGCATCTCCCCAGGCCCAGCCTCCATCTTTTTATTCCCTCAGATCTGAGAGCTGTTTTCTAACCAACACAATAGCCTACACCTACAGAGCATCTCTAAGGTGCCATTGGCTTAAATGAGAAAAAAGTGTTCCCTGAATGGCTCTTTTCTGGAACACTCCAGGGCCAACACTCTATCCAGGGCATATTATAGCTAATGCTAGCTGAGAGCCACTGTCAAATCCTTCTGAGAGATGGAAGTCCTTCAGTAGTAAGAGATGTTGGTTCGCACTAGATGCCCTGGAGAAAAAGCAGTCATTGAGCTCAGAGAAAGCAAAACATTGGCAAGCAGTGCCTGCTGAGGGGACTTTGGATTTCATCTGAGCACATTTTCATTGTCCAGTAAGTACTTAGGTGTGGGCAGTGGAAGGTGTACAAGACCCACTGCCTGTCCTCGGCCGCTGAGACTGACACGGAACTCATGCTTGACGTGGCAGCTCCGCCCACACATACAGATAAATTCTCAGGATTCCATAAGAATGAAAAAAAAAATCTTTTTCAAAACCAAACCTGTAGTCTACGTGCCAGTGGGATGCTAGGGCGGGGCAGGTAAAGATAGTGGGGCAGGTGCTCACTTTGTTGCAAACATTTCTGGGTGGCCTGAACATCTTACAGCCAGTCTACATTACTAAAGTTACTTTTAAACAAGAGCAAACACAAATGTTTAAAAATTGTATGCAAGGGCAGGGTGTGGCAGCTCACACCTTTGACCCCAGCACTCAGGAGACAGAGGCAGGTGGATCTCTGTGAGTTCGAGGCCTACAAAGTGAGCTGCAGGACAGCCAGGGCTGTAACACATAGAAACTCTGTCTTGAAAGACAAAACAGAATAACAACAACAACAACAAATTGGATATAAGGGCAGATAAGTGCCCAGGTGATTCTGGCCATGGGCTGCAACTCTTCAGTATAGAGCTGCCTTCTCTGTTATCATAGGAAGAAACCCCTCACTGTACAGTGTTAGGATCCCTGCCTGCCTTCCTCTGAGGTTGGACTCTGCTTCTTCCCCCTGCCCCCTGCTGGGGGACTTCACTGGGCCAAGACTCCTTTCTACACCTTAGAGGTATCTTTAGATCAATGACAATGGCTCCCCTGACCTCCAGTCACCTGCCCAAGCCCTCCCAAAGGAGCGTCCCTTCTCAGTATCCTCTTCCCGTGTCTTACAGAAGGCATTCCTTCTGCATGGCGACTCCTGGAAGTCACCTAGATTGTTTTACCACTTCTTGGCCCCAGGGCGTTGTTCAGGCTTGGCAGGGGAGGTCTGGTAAAGCCTGCTCTCCTGTGAGGACAGCTCCCCATCCCCAAGCTTAAAACCCACTCTCAGAAGAATCAAATCCTGGGCCAGAAAAGTGACTGAATAGGTGAAGAAAGAAGCTTGCTGTCAAGGCTGACAGCCTGAATTCAATCCCCCTCAGACAGCGAGAGGAGAGGAACCACTCCCGCAAGTCCTCCGACCTCTACACATATGCACCCCTACATGTAACAGGACCTTTTAAAAAGCCATGCATGTTGGCTCATGCCTATAAGCCAGCACAGAAGCTGAAGCTCATCTACTATACACAGAGTACAATCAGCCTTGGAAGCCTGAGATCCTGTCTCAGAAACAAAGCAAAACAAACTGTCTTCTGAATTGAATTCAGTTTCTCTTCCTCTTTCCACCCTGACAAATGTTATTCCTTTTTGCATTTGGCTTCCAGATCTGGAGTCCTCTCTCAGACATGTGGGCAAATTGTTCATCCACTCACCTCCAAATAACTCCCCAGACCCGAAGAGGGGCACCTGTCTAACCCACACTGGGAATGCTCTTTTTGGCCCATGATCCCCAATTTCAAGCATTGATGAAAACAAAGATGTTTTCTCCCTGGGCCCTGGTCTCTGACCATCACAGGACAGAGCCAGCTTGCCACTGTAGGGTACCTGACCCTTGAAATACTGAGTCATTTTACCCAGACAAACCTCTGCCCTGCTGCGTCTCAATTCACTCTTAGACTTCTTTTGCTACCGCTGTCTTTGCAGCTGGACAAGAAATTTCCTTTATAGAAAATGGTCCCACATCAAGACTATCAGTAGCTTCAAGAAGCGGTAGGCACAAACCTGCAGCTTTGTTTCGGAAGCCACAAAGCTGACTGAAGTAATCAAGTTACAAGAATAAAAAGGGTTTCTTACCCAAGATTGCCAAAAGGAGACCTAGAGAGAGAAGCAGGGAGGCTTTCATGGTGGCTGTTCTTGCTTGTTAACCCAAGGAGGAAATAGCTCCTCTCCTTAGCCACCTGGAGTTTAAATGTCTTTCAAGTCCAAAATCCGGTCATTAACTGACGTCAATATGGGCAAAAGCAATTCGTTGTTAGAATCTGGTCATATACTGCAGACTGCTTCCCTCTGGAGATGACCCGAACTCAGCTTCAACATGAGTTCCTTGACTCAAAGTCCAGAACAACTCGGGAATTAGGAGTTTCTTCTAGAAATCCTTGCACAGTTAGAGGTGAGTGTGTTTAGTTAGTTTAGTTAATCTCTTTATATTTTGGACAGGGTTGACCTCTCACCTTTGCTTAAGCCTACTGTGTCTTTAAACACTCAGTAATCTAGATGCAAACGATTGTCTCACCCCCACCCCTTTTAATTGTTTTAAAACTAAAATTTATTTTGTGTGCACACCACAGTGCTCAGTTGGATGTCAGGGGACAATGCGTAGAGTTCTTGACCCTTTGCCATGTGGGGTCAAGGGATGGAACTCAGGTCACCAGCTTAGTGGCAAATGCCTTTGCTACTGAGTCGCCTCCTCAGGCCTCACCCCCCTCTGACTGCCAGGAATTCCATTTCTCCACCCGTGGTCCCAAGCATCCCTGGTTAGGACTTTGGTGTTTCCCCAAACTATTTGTGACTTGACTTCTCTCATCCTTTGCTGTGGACTCCAGCTCTGGGTTTCTCTCAGTGGTCATCTCTAGAAACTTTATTATCCTATTTTCAAGCTCCCTTGGCTCTCAGATGTCACTTTACCTGAACATAGACCCCAAATTGTCATGCTCCTATTAGAAACAGGCTTGCAGGTCATTGTGGGAAGGACCCCCTTTCCCATAATCAGCTTGGGCGGCCAACTGAGGCGGTCCCTATTTTAACAAGGGGCAAGTATCACAATTGCCTCTTCTTTGAATTTGAAATTCCACATGCAAAGAGAGAACCTGGGAGTTGGAGGCCAGCCAGGACTACCTAGTGAGACTGTCTTCAAAAACAACAAAAGCTAAACAAACCAACAGAACAATCCCCATGTGAAAGGGGAGGGAACATCATTGTCATTAACATTTAAGAGAGGAGCTGGAGACTCGGCTTGCTTGGCCTGTACAATAAACTGGGCGTGGTGTCACGTGAATTGGAATCAGAAGTTCAAGGCTTTTCTCTCTCTCTCTCTCTCTCTCTCTCTCTCTCTCTCTCTCTCTCTCTCACACACACACACACACACACACACACACAAATATAGCATGAAACTAAAATAAAGCCCTCCTTCCTTGCTATTTAAAAAAGGGAGGGGAGGGAGAGAGGTGGGGCAGCAGCATTTTGAGGTCTGATAAGGGAAGGCTGCATTCTCCTGGCAAAACATGGCTGTTGTTAATGCGCTCAGCTCTGAGTTGTATTTCTGGCCCTGGGTAGAAACTTGGCTTTCTAGAGGAGAAACAAAGGCATACTAGCATTCCTCCTCTTAAGACTTAATCCAAATAGGGCCAGGCAATGGTAGCACTCAGGAGACAAAGGCAGGTGGTTAGATCTCTGTGAGTTCGAGGCCAGCCTGGTCTACAAAGTGAATTCCAGAACAGCAAGGGCTACACAGAGAAAATCTGTATCAAAACACCACCACCAAATAATAATAATAATAATAATAATAATAATAATAATAATAATAATAATAAGAAGAAGAAGAAGAAGAAGAAGAAGAAGAAGAAGAAAACTTACTCCAAATGATCACCTGGGTAAGACATTGACCCTCAGAAAAGCTGTCAGTCTAAAAACTTTGGAAAATTAGAATAAACCTCACTCCAGTATGAGTTGGCACTATGAGTCCTATAGTCTTTATCTACTGTCACCTCCCTCAAGTGTGTCTGATGGCAATGGCCCACGTGTTGCATCTGCCTGGGCGCAGCTTTACGAATCCTCTTAAATCCTCTTCCGCTAGCTTAACCACCCCCTTTTAGCCCAGAGATTTCTGTTGAGCTCCCGGAAATCTCGGGTGCTGTCTGGAGTTGGGAGGACCTTCCCTGGTTGTTCCTTTCGCTAGCATTCTCTCCTGGCTTTTCCCGCCTCAAAGGGCTAGCTAGACTTAGTCAGCCCCTCATTTCACTTGTGCCTGGAAGCCCGGGGCTTCCAGTTCTCCTTTCTGTTCTTTTCTGTCCTCTCGGTATAGCTCACTACGGTGTGAGCACAGCTCGCTATGGTGTGGGCAGGCCAATTGTTTCCCCCTTGCCCGGGAATTTGCCTCCCATCGGAGGCGGGGGCCGATTCAATTAGGCCATACCACTGTCCCCTGTAAACTCAGACGCCTACTTATAGGACCTACGGTGGTCAATTCCAACTGCACCTTGCCTTCACAGCCTCAGGTGCCTTTTTACGAGTGTTTTTCCGCGGTTTTGGCCATGGGTATCAAGCCATCCAGACCTATCACTCCAGCCTCATGCTTTAATGCCTTACACTTATCTGTCTCTGTTCAACCCAATATAACTTAGAGGAAAACTGTAAATGGCCGTTTTTTTTTTGTTTTTTGTTTTTTTTTTTTTTGGTTCCAGCCTTTTGCCCCTCCCCGCTGCGGCTTCTGTTATATCATGCCGGCTCTACAACAAAACAAAAACTTTTTTCCGTGGCAGTCGCCATCTTGGCTGAGGGCCAGGTGGGTCAGGTGACTCTTTTCGCCATCTTGGTTGAGAGCCAGGCCATGTGACCACACTCTCCCGGTTTTACTCACAGTTTTATGGTTTTACTCCCGGTTTTACCCTGCCTCTTCACCCAGTTTTCACTGAACTCCTCATGTTAACTCTGTTACATGTGTATTAAACAATGGTATGCCTTTGATAGGGCCCATCAGAAGCATCCACGTTGCCCAATTCTTGCTCACTCTTTCTATGCATAATAATTATTTATTCCATCTCATTTCAGACTACAAAACATGAGTCTCATATTTTAAACTGGTATGTACTTTTAAGTCCCTTAAGTTTTTCGCTACCATCGTCAGTTCTGACATCAACCTTCCATTGCCAGCAGTTTCTTCTTTCTGCCCTTTTACGAGTGTAAATCTTACCTGCTAAGAACCAGTATACTACAACTATATTTAATCCAGCCCTGAACTGCTCAGAGATCTGGGGAATGTGATATTTAAGTATTTAATTATTAAAAACTTTTCACAACAACAACAAAAAAAGAGACAGGTTGGTTCCTAGCAGCAGCTCTCTGCTCCCTCCAAAGAAGACAGGAGACAGACACGCGCAGAACAACGTCCTTCTGCATTCCGCTTCGACTGCAGAGTGCTGACCATTGGGAAAACCTGCCTTTCATCTAAAGTAAAGACCTCTAGACGTGGACAGAATTGCTGGAATCGACAGCCTAGCTGCTCAGGTCAAGGTAGGCCTGACTTCCTACAGATTTCTTAGCCCACAGGATCTTCTGGAGCCTGGCAGGCCCTGCGCTAAACAGCAAAGCTCAAGTGCAACCTTCAGCGACCATGGAGGACCCAAAAAAGAGTAGCTCTGGGTGCCAATAAAGTAAGTTCTCTGTCATTTTTTAATCAGTAACTCAAGTAAAATCTTATCCTTTTCAAAGATCTCTGACAGTTTGATAGCTGCGAGGTTTTGCTTGCCAGGTTACCTCACCAAATAAATTTTAAATCAAATTTCTCTCCTATACTGCTTTCCATGTGACTAAAACTTCTGTTTTCACAAACCCAAGGAGTTCTTGTGAGTTCCAGGGAGCCAAATTAAAAAATCCATTTTAAACAGGTCAGATACCCCCTCAATTCCCTGGTCCAAAAAAATTTTTTTCCCTTAATTTAACTTTGTTGTTTGTTCTGCCAATATCTTAGGGACACCAGACATTCCCATGCCATAAAAACCGGTCAAAAGCAAAGAGACCAGCCATGCCAGGATGTGACCAGCACCCAGCCTTCTGTTGGGTTCCCCTTCTACAAAAGATAATGCCCACAATCAGCCAGAAGCAGTCTTGAGAATTCACCGCCCCAATTCCTTCAAACTGGGGTGTCTAATTTGCTTTTTTGTTAAAAGCAAGATGTGGAAATGTTATTCTTTCGGTCCCTGCCCTAGCCACGCCCACTCCGTTTTTACCTCTGACCTCCGCCACCATCTCTTTCTCTCTCCTGTTCTCTCCCGGTCTACACACGGGGCTTTGCCTCTCTCTTCCTTCTCTCTCTTTCTCTCTCTCTCTCCCTTTTTCTCTCTCTCTCTCCCTTAATAAATACTTATGGCTATCTTTTGTGTCTATGTGTCTGTTACCTGCTGCCACCGCCCGCACGGCGCATGCTCTACTGCTGGTGGGAAACTGTAGCCGCTTGTCGCATGGCGAGCTCTGCCAGCCTGCCCGGGAATCTTGCAGGTACGGACAACCGTCTCTTTGGGGCTAGCAGCTGCACCGCAAACATCTTAGAAACATCTTAGGAATAAGAACCTGGGCAACAAAGGCAGGTCCATTATCAGACTCGATTACCTTGGGTATCCCAAACCTTGGGAAGATTTTTTCTATGATCTTCTTAGCCACCACATTGGTCGTCTCAGTCTTGTGTCCCACGCTACCGTCTCTCCAGCAAGAACGACGCGGCACACTCAGGATCCTTCTGCAGAAAAGCTTTAATGCATCTTGAGAGGGAGAGCATAAGCTTACAGAACAGAGACCCCAGAGGAAGAAAACCCAGCCCTTAAATAGGTTAATGGTCCTCGCCTAGGACGTGTCATTCCCTGACTGGCTGCAGCTCATCAGCCCTTATGACGCCACGGGAGAGGTAGTTTATCGGTTTGGCGCTACCGGATGCAGGCGCCATCCTGTAATGGAGTATGTGGCTCCCCACATCTCCCCCTTTTTATTATTATAAGCGACTAGGCATCCCCAAATCCATGAGGGTAGAGACAGTGGTTGTACTTCCCAGGCACAGAACATGTAAGACGTGTACGAAAGCTATCCCTAGATTCAACTGAACCCGGGATGTTTTCGACCTGTCCTCTGCCGTTTTTCTGGGAAAGGGAAAGTAAGGTAGGAAAACCCTTATGCAGGACAACATGTCTCTCAGAGAGGGTACCATAACGGCTCTCTGTGTGATGCTCTCAGCTCAATACCCCTCCTGGGGGCCAAACCAAACACTCTACCCTGTGCAATGAACCTAAGTTCCGGGTGCACAAGAGCTATTCAGCCGGCGGCCTATTGCTTGAGCATAGTTAGCCAGATGTCAGTGGAAGCCCCTTGTTCTAGGGCGACCAGGGCCTGTGCGATAACCACCTTGTCTCTCTAGTTTTGGGTTCTGAGCCTACAGACCAGCCAGAGGAGAAACACCATTTCACAGCAGATGACCATACCAAACAGTCCCACCCCCACCCACTCCTTGAAGTAAGAAACAACAGAGGAAATCCAGGACGACAGCCCCTCCGTGAAGGACAGGTCAAGATGGGTAGAGTTGATCTGGACGATGGTGGCCCTCAATTCGCGAAGCGTCCGTTCAAACTCAAAGGTCCAATTCTGTAAAATGAACTGTGAAAGGCTTTTAGACAAATTAGCTGCTTTAGTAAAATTTTCATATTGAATGGAGGTGACACAAAGGCCAGGGAGCTTTTGCTCGCAGCCTAACTGTGCCATTTGCCACAATATATCCAAGCATCCCAACACAGGGTATAATAGCATTTACCGGATCTACAATAAAATTCATTGTCTGTGGCACTCTTATTGCTCACAATCCACATAAAGGGAGGCCAGACACAAACTGGAGTGGCCTCATAATCTTCATGTCTAAAAGATTTATATTTTACTCCGGAGGCAGTCCATTGAAATGACCCTGAACTCTTGCCTGATTAGAGTTGACTGCCCAGGGATCCCTTCCAGTCAAATTCCAATTGACCCTGTTCACTTCTGCCTCCCTTCAGCATGGCCATGGGTGTAAGATCAGTGCAACTTCCATTAACGCCGCAAAGCAGTCATTGATCAAAAGGATTAGTATCCGCCTGCATGGGGTCCAAAGATGTAAAGTTAGTTCCCATGCCTATCCTTGGGGAAAAGGAAAACAGGCCTGTAATAGCCCAGGCAGCATCCCTGGATTGGCATCCTGTCCAAGGCAATGCCGTCTCTTCCATTTGTCTGCCAGTGCAAAAGGGGGCCAATTTTGGTTGCCGTGGCGGGGTAAAAAAAACCATTTATAGATGGGAACTGTGGCTACCAGCCATAGATAACAGTAGCATTGGCTACAATGTTACTGCTGGGCCCCCATGCAGCCTCTTTCAGCCAAGCAGAAGATAAATTTCCTAATCTAATACAGGGGTTGCTATTATCCAGCTTATCTATGACCAAAAAGCATAAGCTTCCTTTAAGGAAAAGGGTTCTGTTTTCCTTACGTCCTTCAATTTGCTCATCCTTTGGTAAAAATGTAAGACCTAATTCTTTATTAGTGGCAAAAAAATTGAGGGAAAACCTGTGCATTATACATCACCGGCATCGGCAGTGGAAAAGTCAACATGATCCCCCATCGTGGTTCTCCCCGGGCGATTGGGTTCCCCATGATTAACATCATGAGGATTAGCCTGATCCTTCTCGTCATGAGGTTGGTCCGTGTCATCCTTTTGCTCCAGGACTGTTCTAGTGAGCCGTTCAGGGACCCAAAAAGGATTTTCTTCATCCTGTGGGAAAACACAGATAGCTCCCCTGGATCTTATTAGAATAGGATCCGGGCCTTTCCATTCATTAGTCAGCACATCTTTCCATTTTACAAGATCCTTAGGTCGCTGTGGATCCAAGCAATGTTGTTCTGCTGCATTGTGATCACTATCATCCAAATTTAAAAAATTTATAGTAAATAATGCCATGGCAATAGCCACTCTTGGCGTTGGAGGTAAATCTTTCATTATTCCCCCTTTTTGTTTAAGCAAGTAGGATTTGAGCGTGCGGTGTGCTCGTTCAACAATGCCTGGACCCTGAGGATTGTAGGGCAGGCCTGTAATATGTGTCACCTGCATTTGCATACAGAATTGATTAAACTTTTGAGAGGTATAGGCAGGCCCATTGTCAGTTTTTAAAAATGTGGGTTTGCCCCAAGCACTCCATGCCTCAAGGCAATGTTGAATAACATGAGAAGCCTTTTCTCCTGTAAGAGGCGTGGCGTGGAGAATACCAGAGCATGTGTCAATTGATACATGCACATATTGAAGTTTTCCAAAGGCAGAGATATGGGTAACATCCATCTGCCATATTTGTAGAGGCAGAATCCCTCTGGGATTTATCCCTGTGTGTCGGACAGGGAGAAACTGGCAGCAATTGTGACATTGGGTCACGATATCACGAGCCTCTCTTCTAGTAAGGGAAAAGCGTCTACGCAGGGTTTCAGCCGTGACATGAAAATTATCATGAAAGGTTTTAGCAACTTGTAATGGGGAGGCAAGAGCCGCAGCGGCTAATCGCGTAGCGCGATCAGCCAAATCATTACCCAGACTCATAGGACCCGGGAGCCCTGAATGTGCCTGGATGTGTGTAATATATAGTGGAGCTCTCCTGTTTAGCAAACATTCCCGCAATTTATGGAAAAGAGATGCCACCATGCTAGTAGGTCTTATGAACCCGGTGGTTTCAAGCAATTTTACAGCATTAACCACATAGGCAGAATCGGAAACAATGTTGAGGGGGCAGTGGAATCTTTGAAGAACTTCTAACACCACCATGCATTCCACCTTCTGAGGTGAGGTTACAGAGAAGTTTTTTGAAAATACCTTGGAATCCACAACATAGGCTCCCATGCCACTCTTGGAGCCGTCTGTATAAACCACCATTCAGTCTTTTAGCGGAATGGATGATGTTACCCGGGGAAAGACAAGAGGATGACATGCAGCAAACTGTAGCAGAGGGTTTTTGGGATAATGATTATCAATTTTCCCAGAAAAGGTGGTGACCAAGATGGCCCAATCATTAGAAGTGGCAGCCAGGGTTTGTATCTGAGGGGAAGTATAGGGGACAATCATCATAGCTGGATGTTTACCAAAATGGCTAACAGATGTTTTTAGGCCTCTAAGGGCGATCTGAGCTATGGCTGCTGGATACCAATCAATAATTTTTTGAGGGGAGGCATGTGGGTGAATCCACAACAATGGTCCATCTTGCCATAACACAGCGGTGGGCAATTTTCTTGTTTTAAATACGCAAAGAGAAAACGACCAGGTAACATCAATGCGGCACAATTGTGCCTCCTCAATGGATTTCTCTACCAACATTAAGGCTGCTTCTGCCGCTGGTGTTAAAGCCTGGGGGGAAGTAATATGAACATCCCCCTCCAAAATATCGAACAGAGGTTTTAAATCGGCAGACGGGATCTTTAAAAATGGTCGCAGCCAATTAATATCTCCTAACAATTTTTGAAAATCATTTAATGTTTGTAAATCATCTTTATAAATTTTTAGTTTTTGTGGAAGGATCTTATCTGGAAGAATTATAGAACCTAAAAACTGGCCAGCATCAGCAATTTGAACCTTTTCTGTGGCAATCTGGAGGCTCCAAAGCTGTAGATTGTCAAGTAGCAATGGATAGGCCTTTTTGAGGATCTTTAGATCCTCATGACACATAAGCACGTCATCCATATAATGGACCACAAGCATCTGCTGAAAACGCTCTCTTATTGGTTTGAGAGCCTCCTGTACATATAGTTGGCACATAGTAGGGCTATTGGCCATACCCTGAGGCAAAATCTTCCATTGAACTCGCTTATCAGGCTCCATATGATTAACCGAAGGAACAGTAAATGCAAAGCGAGGTCTATCAGGAGGATGTAAAGGAATAGGAAAAAAAAAGCAATCTTTAATATCTATAATAACTAAACTCCAGTTTTTGGGCAAGGCGGAGAGTATAGGGAGTCCCCGTTGTACTGCCCCGAGGGGGTGCATTTGTTCATTAATTGCTCTTAAATCATGTAGTAGGCGCCATTTTCCTGACTTCTTTTTGATAACAAAGATAGGAGTGTTCCAAGGGGAAGTTGATGGCTCTATGTGCCCCAAGGCTAGCTGTTCTGCAATAAGTTTAGTTGCAGCTTCCAATTTTTCAGAGGTCAGGGGCCACTGGGGAACCCATACTGGAACCTCTGTCTTCCATGGTATGGGCCATGCTGCCCCAGTGGCACCTAGGAAAAACCCAGACCCTGTCTTCCCTGATTGGGGTCAGGGGCCACAGGCCCGATCCGCCCTTGTCCTAGGCGCCCCAGTCCTTTTTCTGTCTTGTACCCCATTTTTCTCATCATGTTAATTGCTTGTGGTGAATATTCATTAGATAAGGTTAGCCCTATGTCCTGCATGATGTCTCGTCCCCATAGGTTAACGGGTAGAGGAAGCACATAAGGGGTGAACCGTCCTTCCTGCCCCTCCGTGGTCCTCCGGATAAGGGCCGAGGAGCTAATGGTTGGGTGAGCATTATAACCTAGTCCTTGTAGCGAATGGGAGGCCTCAGTGGTCGGCCAAGACTTTGGCCACCAGTGGGAAGAAATTATGCTCTTGTCCGCTCCGGTGTCCAGAATGCCCTCAAAGCGTTTGCCATTAACCCAGAGGGACAGTTTTGGCCGGTCTTGGAGACTAACAACCAAATAAGCCAAATCCTAACCTGAGGATCCCATTTGTTTATCTCCTGGTTTTTGATGGGTCTCACCCGGAAGGAGTAGTAGCTGAGCTATTCTATCTCCTTTGCTGATAGAAAAGACCCCATTGGGACTGGAGCACAATGCTTGGATTTCAGGGGTATGTTGATCATCAATAATACCGGGGTGGACAATCAGTCCCCGTAAGGTGAGCGACCCCTGACCCAGGAGAAGGCCCACACTCCCCTGGGGTAAAGGTGTGGGAACTCGAACAGGGACGGGCTGCACCCCCATCTGGGGCATTAGTAAGAAGTCGGAGGAGGCGTGCAAGTCCATTCTTGCTCCATCCCTGGAGAGACCTCGTCGGTCGCCTTGATGAATCTGTTCCCATATTTTTGTGGGCCCTGGGACCGGGGGCCCACTATCCCGTTTTTTGGATTTTCATTATCAGATGTCTCTAGTGGGGGGAGGATTCTGCCCTTTATATCTCTCACCGAGCGACATAGCTCAGCCTTGTGGTAGCCTTTGCCACAACGGGAACAAAGAGTAGGGGGAGCCCTCTCTGTTGACTTGCAGTCCTTTTTTAGGTGTCCCGGCTTTCCACATTTAAAACAGACTCTTTTACCAGGCCCCTTAAAGGGGCGCTTCTGAGATTGTAAAATAGCTGCGGCCAGTCCTGCATTGGTAAGAGGTCCTCCAAGTTCCCTACAAACTCTAAGCCAATCTTGTAGCCCTTTATTTTTTCTAGGGGCTATAGCCGCGCAACATTCTTGGGTGGCCTGCTCAAAAATAAGTTGCTCAATAAGAGGCGCGGCTGTTTCAGGGTTGCCAAAAATGCGCCCTGCCGCCTCTGTCATTCGTGCCACGAAATCTGAAAAAGGCTCCTGGATTCCTTGAATAATCTTAGTGAGTTGGTTATTTACTTCTCCTTTTCTGGAAAGTGCTTTCCAAGCCCTAATGGCTGTATCAGCAATTTGCCGATATGCACCCCAATGATAATCTGTTTGATTGACGGCAAACCGCCCTTGGCCAGTCAAGAGATCGAACGTCCATTGTTGCTGTTCTGGAGTCAAGGCCATAGCATTAGCCCTGGCCTGCTCCTGAGCTGCCTCATGCCAAAGGGCTTTCCATTCCAAATATTGGCCCATGCTGACAAGTGATGCCTTTGTAACCGTCTGCCAGTCAGCTGGGGTCATGGCAGTCATAGCCAGTCTATCCACTTGAGCTAGAGTGAAATTAGCTGTTACTCCATATTTTCAGACTGACTCTGCCAATTCTTTTATCTGATTGTACTCTACAGGTGCGTGCACCCGTCCTCCCTCTGCTCCTTCAAAGACAGGGTAGGCGAGGCGTAGCTTTCTCTTTACCTTTTCTGGGAGGAAGGAGAAGGCCTTCGGGCGCATCTCGTAAGGGGGGGGGGCGCCGAAGGGGCCACCGGTGAAGGGGCCACATGGAGCTGCCGTTTTTTGAGCTCCCTGTTACTCGGAGGGTAATCATCAGGATGATATCTCTCCTCCTCGTATCTGGCCCCTTCCTCCTCTAAGTCGACTTCTTCCTCCGGGTCTAGACCTTCATCTTCTGAACTTTCAGAGTTGTCAGAATTATTAGTAGAACTATCAATATTTAAAGCCTCAAGTTCCCGTAAAGGGTAAACATTAGTACTAGTATTCCCTTTTTTCTTCTTTATTACAGGTGTGGGACCTTTAGGGTCCGATGCAGACACCCCCTTGTCCTTAGACATACCGGGGGGGGGGCTATTTTCCTTGACTGGGACTGTTTTTTTCTTGCGCGCGCCCAACCTCTCACTACGCTCAGTTTCTGACATGCTATCCTGAACTTCTTCTAAGACACCTCGTCCTTCAGCTACGACCGCCTGACAGGCTTCATCCTCCAAACAGTTCTTAACAAGTTTCCAGATGGCCTTGGTCCCTTGTCTTAGGTCTCCTTCGACTCGTTTTTTATCGAGGTCTCTACCCAATTTATTCCATGAGGCATGAGTCAAAGATCCGGAGCAGACGTACCAAGGAGCTACCCGATCGATTTCCTTAACAAAATTTTTCAGTGTCGGATGAGCGATCTTTATATCTCTTTGCTTCAGCACCGACTCTAAGGCCATAATGACAGACTGTGAGGAGCCCATGATGGCGAGCAGGTACCTGTGGCTTATCTACGTCAGCCTTACAAGTGCGAAGAAAACGAAAGTACAGTCCGCGCGGCTCTTTTAGCTACAAGAGGCTGAAATGCACACCAAGGTACTGCCACTTATCTACGTCGGACTTAACGTACCTAGCAGTTATAACGGTTGAAGCAAAGCATTCCCAAAATAAGGATCAAAAGTGCTCCCAGAACAATCACCAAGGCTTCCACGCTACCCTCCCAAGGCGGTGAAAGGTCCAATCCGAAATCCAGAAAAGGCATACCTCTCTGAGCGTACCTACCTGCAGTTCTGAATCCTCCTTGAATCCAAGGGGTCTCCGGCAGTGCTGACGATGTTGGGTTCCCAGGATTTCGGCACCAGATGTCCCGCGCTACCATCTCGCCAGCAAGAACGACGCGGCACACTCAGGATCCTTCTGCAGAAAAGCTTTAATGCATCTTGAGAGGGAGAGCATAAGCTTACAGAGCAGAGACCCCAGGGGAAGAAAACCCAGCCCTTAAATAGGTTAATGGTCCTCGCCTAGGACGTGTCATTCCCTGACTGGCTGCAGCTCGTCAGCCCTTATGATGCCACAGGAGAGGCAGTTTATCGGTTTGGCGCTACTGGATGCAGGCACCATCCTGTAATGGAGTATGTGGCTCCCCAAAGTCTTGGTAGGAAAAGCTTCTGCCCAGCCTGAAAATGTATCTATAAAAACTAATAAGTACTTGTTACCATACCTGGCTGGCTTAATTTCTGTAAAATCTACTTCCCAGTAGGCCCCAGGTTGGTGGCCCCTGAGCCTCTTCCCAGGAGTGTCCTGCATTAGTTATAGCACAGGCCTTGCAGCTTTTGACTACTTCTTCTCCCAAGTCAGAGAGTCCCATAACATAATAGTCGGAGGACATAACCACATCTTTTAGTTTCTTGGCCCCCAAGTGGCTCGGGTAATGTAAGTTGGTAACATACTTGTGCCCTTCTTTTTGTGGGAGGACTAGTTTTCCTCCTTCTGTCTCTACTGCCCCGTATGGTTTTTTTTTTTTTCTTAGCAGTCCTAATTCGCCCATAACTTGATGGTCCTCGGGGGTGTATCTAAAGTTGGTTTCACTGATATCATGATAATCTTTAGGCTCTTTGACTGCCAGGATCATTGCTCCCTGGGTCGCCTGTTTAGCAGTTAGGTCTGCCATCTGATTTCCTTTAGCCACAGCATCCCGAGCTTTTTGGTGTCCTGGACAATGTATGATGACTACCTTCTTTGGCCAATGTATGGCCTTGAGGAGGCTCAAAATTTTATTTATTTATTTTTTTGCAGATGTTAACAGTCCTCTTTGTATATTGCTCTGTGTATATGGGCAGTGGCAAAAGCATACCTGCTGTCAGTTGAGACTTTCCCCCTGCCATTCATAGAGCTGGTATCAAAGCCACAAGTTCGGCTTTCTGTGCCGAAGTCCTTCAGGGAGGCTATACCCAGACTACTTGCTTCCCATCTGCCACTTCTACCCCCGCCTTCTGCTTACCTTCAACTGCGAAACAGCTGCCGTCTGTATACCAGCTTGAACTTCCAGGCCAAGGCTGATCCCTCGGATCATTTTGGGTACCAGCTTCTTCTGCCAAAATGTCAGTGCAGTGATGGGTAGATGAGGTGTCATCAGTCTCAGGCAGTAGGGCAGCAGGATTGAGGACAGCAGGGGGAGCGAAGGTCACTGGTTCAGTCAACAAAAGGCTTTAATCACCTCCAGCCAGTTTGAGTCTCTTTTTAATAAAGGTGTGGGACACTTATGGAAACCCAGGAAGGAATGAGTCACTTGTCCTTCCCCCAAATCTACAGTTTGTAAGGTGGTCCACAGATATTGTTTCTGTCCAGTTGTTTCAATTACAATTGTCTTTTTTATTTTTGAACCTTTTCAATGGTTGTTTCAGCACAGAGTACTTAGCCCCTTTGTCCACTAGAAAGTCCATAGGGGTCCCCTCCACAGTCAGGGTTACCGTAGGTGCAGGGGAGGGGGGTCCGAGTCCCATCCCCTCTAATCCATCTTCTTCTAGGGCCAGTACCTTAAAGGCCCTTCTTTTCTCCTTTGGGCATTCTCTTGCCCAATGTCTTTTTTTTTTTTTTTTGCAATAAGCACATTGATCTTTGTCCAAGGGGTGCCTCTGCCTGTCTTCATTCATCTTTGGTCTTCTGTTGCTCAGGTTCCCTACCTGTCTAGGCCCTGTCTTTTTTTCCTTTCTTACCACTGCAGCCAAAATTTTATCAAATTTCTCTCTTGTCTATGATCCCTCTGGTCCTCTCTCTTCTTCTGCCTCTTGCCCCTCCTTGCTTCTCTTCCTCAGTCTCTCACTTATGAAACACTTTCTCTGCCTCCTTAACCAAATCCTGCAAGATATAATCCTGCAACCCTCTAACCACTGTAACTTTTCTTAATATCTGTTACTGACTGTCCTATGAAGGCCATAGCTACTGCTGACCCTCAGAGGTTGGGTCAAAGGGAGTAAAACGCCTGTGCCTGTAAGCCTCTTTAAACATTTAAGAAACACAGATGGCAGAGCCCTGCAGTGATTGACTGTCAGCTGCTCCCTACCTGCCTTAAGTTTGATATTGAAAACAGAAAAAGGGAACTAGATAAGGCCCATAACTGTTTACACATTTTTTAAACCAAAATCTCTTGAGACAACACACCAAAAATTTCTCTTGCTTTTTAGTCAACATAGCAAAAATTTCTTGCCTTTTAAACAACATAAAAACTCTTTACCAAAGTCTTTTTTGGTGTTTTTTTTTTCCAGTGGGAATGTATGACTACATTTTAAACAAGAACAGCATATAAAAATCCTATACTAATGTGAAACATTTGAGACCAACAATAGTTTTTTTTTAACATTAACCAAGATAATTTGTAAACAAGAACAGCATATAAAATCCTGTACCAGTGTGAACATTTGACCAGCCCCTATAAATGATGACAGATACTTATAATGCATAGGACCTGAAAGAGTTCTTCACCTGCGGAGCCAAGCCTTGGTCAGCGTTGACCGAAGGTTTGAGGCGTGCAGCTCCCAGGGCAGGCGGAGGGAACTTGTCCATCAGCATGGGGGGGGGCAGGGTGGTACACAGCACTGGGGAAAAAAGATTGTTAACCTCTTTAGGCCATAGCAATTACTCTCAGATTTTTTGTTTAGTGTTTGAAATCCTATTGGGGGTACATCCACCTTCTACAACTGTGTCTGGTAGCCTCGATACCTTGTAACAGGAAGGCTGAATAGCCCAGCCATCTATATAAGCATGCTGCCCCGCAGCCATGTGCTTGGGACCAAGGCTGATTTTTAATGAAATATACCCCATGTTCTACAGAGAACTGACCGTGCCACTCATATGTCATACCACAGAACTGAGAAACGCCACCCGCGTATCTCACCAGAGAACTGAACATGCTACCTGCGTGTAAGGCAAAACAGAGTCCGAAGATATACAGACAAAGGCTAACAAAACAAAAATACAAAACCACTGATCCAGGGTCAACGTCACAAGTAAGAAAACAAAAGACTGAAGACACACAAGACACGCAAACAAATGTCTGTCTCCACTGAGACAGACAAAACCATTCCAAAAATACAGAAATACAGAAGGCTGAGAGGACATAGTTCTTCCAATCCAGGAGAACTTCCGTATCCTCACCAGCACCCAGACGGTAATCTCCCAGGCGTCCCTGGGTCCCTTCTCACCTCCCAGGGCGTCTCCTGGGGAAGCAGTCAGTGATCTAGCATGTCTGCTGATCACTCCTTCATCTCCTCCTGAGACACGAGCGACTGCAAAACCGAAAATACAGAACCTGAACTCAGCACGCACAGAAACACAAAGACACAGACACGGCTATAACCTCAAAGTACAGAACCTGAACCTGAATTCAACCGACAGGGAAACACAAAATAAGTCATGACTGTAAACTCGAATGTACAGAACCTGAACCTGAATTCAACTGGCACAATCTGGCACAAAAACATAAAGGACCTGCTGACACACAGACAAAGACATATAGACAATGTCTCACCTCCAAGCACCCAAGTGGGTCTTCGGAGACAAGGGTGGTCGCTAATCCAGGACGAGCCCCCAAATGAAAGACCCCCCCAGTACGGGGAGACTCTCACTCAAGTCTCGGGATAAGACGACCACCCCCCCCCCCCCAGTAACTCACAAGAGACCATCCTTGCTGCAATCACACGAGGCTTTAATTGATGAGATGAGAGTGGAACCAGTGCACTGGGGCTGAGACTCATAACCCACGCAGGGGGAGAGTTCGACCCCGAGTGACTGGGAGAAGCGATTTTTAAGGGAAGAAACCACAGCCCTGTGATCCGGAATTGGCAGGGAGTGTGTCACAAAAAATTCCGAAAATACCAGTGAAGATCACAAGGGGGCAACCCCCTGCCTCTCAGGACCACTCCCAAGGTCATTATCAGCTAGTTCTTAAAACACATTACAATGACAATCACAAGGGGGAAACTCCCTGTTTTTTAAGATTATTCTCAAGATTATAACCTAACTTTATCTTCAGCTAGTTCCTGAAACACAGCCACTAAGGGGCTAATCCTAGATTTTTGATTCTTCTCTTCCTGCTTGGATTTTTGGCTATTTTCTTCCTGCTGGAGGGGACCTGGATTTATCCAGGGCTTTCTTTGGGGATACCTGGAGTTATCCAGGTCTTTCAGGACCATTGTGGTCGTTGTCCACTCTCTCCCCTGAGAGTGCTCCAGCTTCCCAAGAATAAATTTATCTGTGTTCTACACTGGGCTCCGTGTGTCCAGTTCATTCAACCCAAACACAGGGAGCTGAGAGGAGGCTAGAGCTACGCCCCACTTAGAGCCTCAGATTTAGACTCTGGGAAGACTGCTGGGTGACCTCACAGAAGTCACCTCTGTTGTTCCTTTTGCAAACTACAGCTCCCAGCATTCCCCTGGACTGGAAGCCACAAAGGCACAGGACACTTCTCCCATACCCTACCACCCTC